AGGCGCACTTGTGATGACACCTTCAACCTGTCAAGATCCTGCATTAGAATGGCAAGCCGCAGCTCCATGCTTGGGTTTGAGGCAGCGCATGCATGTATGGAAACCGAACTTGCACCGTCCGTTCTTGATCTGGTTGTTGCATCCCTTACTCAAGTTAAAGTGCCAACACATTGGCTTTCCATCAGCAGTTCTGAGCTTGAGGCCCTTGAGTTCCTCCGGGATCTTTGCTGGCTCACGGTCATTGAAACGAGGTTTCTTCGGTGGTTGCCCTCTTGGAACACCAGCAGTCTGTTCATTTTCCCGTTTGGTTCCTTTCAACTGTGGGTTTTGAACTGGTTGGTGAATGCAGGGCATTGCAATGAGATGCACATTGACTCTTGGATCATGCATCAAACGTGTGAAAATATCATCCAAAGGCGGGGCTTTCCCTTTGTCAGCAATGAGACTGCCACTGTATTCTGAGGCCATGAGCGTAAAAATCTCCCTGTCTGCTTTCAAAATTTGGGTGAGGCCCAGGCTGGATGCCGCATGCGGTGGTTCTTGAATCAGGGAACCCATCAACTTGTCCAGCCACACCTGACACGGTTGCCAAGACAACAAGTGCACAATCTCAAATGCCAGATGTCTGCGTTGCAATGCGAAAAACAAACGCAACTCCGTGGAAGTGTCCACGTCTGACATGGAGCTCGTGGTCGCCGACTTCAATGATCCCTGTTCTAGGGTGATGATTTGCTTTGACTTCTGTTTGGACTCCGCCTGAATCTCCATTTCACGTGAATGACACTTTGATGGCCCAATGTAAGTGAGTGCTCCCGTCTCTACAATATGGAAGGCCAAATCAATAAGGCTGTGAGCAGGCTGTTGATCGGGCTTGTGAAGCAGCCCTGTGATTCTCTTTTTCTGTGCCTCAAGCCTCGTTTGTTTTTCTACGAAAGGCAATTTCTTCAGAGGCTCCGACGAATCTGTGTTCAGGGCTTTCGTCTTCATGTCATTGAGAAGATACGTGCATGACTCAAAGTGCAATCTTCTAACAGTTGCCACATCACCCAAACTTGGTGTACCATAAATTGATTCAGCAAGCTTTGTGATCTCCGCATCTGAAACTTGGTTCTGTGGAGACCCAACTGAAAATGCAAACGTTGAAAAAGTTGTCAAACTTTGCGCCTCGGTTTTGTCGGCTAGGCCAGCCTGCAACTGTTCGCAACGCTTCCTGAAAGCGCTCTCTGAATCCACCAGGGCCATGTCGCCAGGTTCCACAGTGGTGCAATGAAAACAAAGTTGCAAATGGTTTTCAAATGACACGTCGTGCCAAGTAAGAAAGTGCAATTGGAGCTAATGCAAACGATAAAGGACACTTAAACAAGAAACGGAATGCAAACATCAAGTTCCAGGCAATTTGTGTTCATTGATGCAATGTAATTGACAAACATCTCATGCCTGAACGTGTTTCCACCAAATGGTGAAGCTTTGAGCACCAAGCCACAAACATGCTCTCCGAAGTGGTGTACAACCACCGGCCCTCTGAGGGTTGAGGATACAAAGGAAACAATACGTGTCCCCAAAAAGTTTGCAAGACCTGGCATGTTTGGTCTTTGACACTAATGGCCACACAGGCCTTTTGTGAACCATGCTTTTCACGACCACAGCAAGACGTGCTGCGGACCACTCTTTTATACCAGCTGACATCTGACGCTCAATTTCAAGGCTGCACAAGCCTGGAGTCCAACTTTGTCCGGGCAGCTTTCCAGCAAAGGGAACAGCAAGGTGAGTCCCACCTGACCTGCACTGGTGGCTTGTGAGCGTTCCCTTTTTGTCGGCCACACATGAAAATCTTCTGATATCCTTCGGCCAGCAAGTGCAACATCTTTGATTTTTCATGTTGTATCAAAGTGGTGCCAACTGGAGCGGTGGGGCATCTCACCAACCTGGCAGCCCGCCCAAGGTTGCTTGCCTCCTCGTCAGAAGAAGAGTCTGTATCGCTGTCTCCACCAGTGCTTGAGTCAGAATCTACTGCCAGAGTTTCTTTTGGCCGGTCTGCCACTGAGCTGACGTCGGCAGCCCCATCAAGCGCCACTTGTCCAGCTACTTCACAATCTTCGATTTTGCAAACATCATTGAACCTTCCAGACCTGGATGCGTCTGGACAAAACTTGTTTTGTCTGATCGACAGCAGCACCTTCTCCAACTCACGCAGCGGTCCAGCCAAGCCATCCCTGCTGTAAGTCAGGACACTCTTGAGGTGACTCACATGTCCCCCCAAGATCTCCCTCGTTGTGATGTCGCATCCAAACTTCGCCATGTATGAGAGCATGGTGCTCTCGCATGAGTGTGACGTTATCTTTCTGCTTGTCAGGTCGGCACCATGTCTTTCAAGCAACATTCTGACCCACTTCCCCATCTCATCTGAGGTTATGGGACGCTTCGTAGGTTGATGGTCACCACCAGGAGCAGGCATGACTGGGAAACCTGCGGAAATTTCACTACCAATGCAATCTCTCACAACAAGCCAAGTTCTGCCCCAGTTGTCCGAGGTGACGCCATGTGCTACTGCAACGGCTGGTAAAAAGCCTTCCACCCATGCATTTGCTCTCTTTGTCTTGTGTTCTTTGACAGTGAACTCAATGAAGCAAGGGTCCCATTGATTTGGGTCTGACAACATGGCTTCAGAGTGTTGCAAATCGCTCCAACGACTCCTACTGTAAACTGCACACAAAGTTGCACCTGCCATCGTCCTATCCCATAGGTCCTCGTCCTCTGACACCAGGACGTTGTGCAGGATCTTGAGTTCCTTCACGGTGAATGGAGAGGCCTGTCTTCGGGGTCCACTTGACTGGAACTTCGAGGCCCCTAAAACTCTTTTGGAGAGAAGTTCAGCGCTGAGTTGTGACACTCCCAGTACATGCTCTGTAAACCTCAATGCCTCCACAACTGATTGCAAACGACTCGAAGGGCTCCCTGACTCTCTCTCCAAGCAAAAGTGTCGATACAACGCATCCTCATCTCCAGGGAACAACATTCCTTGACCCACCAAAAAATTAATGTATCGCTGAAGTGAGTTTGCTCTCTTGATGAGAGTCAGAGGTGCCTTTGTGGCAAACACGTCCCTCAGAACCCTCAACTGGTCAGGGACGTCTGCCAGCAATGACATTTGGTCTTTGATTCCAATGCCAAGAGGAAAACGCAGCACAATGTCATACCATCTCTTCATTGCAGTGTCCAGTTTGGCTTCTTGAGATTCTGTCCATGAAACTTCATCAACATTTGTGACAACTTGTTGCCAATGGTTTGCAAAAGACGACCGCCTGAGTTTCTTGCTGGGCATCTCGGCATCTGCCACTGTTGCTGTCGGGCAAGCTGCAAAAACAGGTCTCAAAAATTGTGGACTGTTCGAACTTGTGGGTTTGAGAGGGCTGTCAAAAATCTGTTTCCAAACTCCTTTTTCCCAGGGCAGTTCAATGTCCACTTTCCTGTCAAGATTCAACCACATTTTTTCAATGGTGACATCTGAGGGCAGCTCCGCATGGTCCACAACAACCTGACATTCCTCGATCCTACCAAAGTCACCAAAACGGTCTGCACTGAAGTCAACATGCAAATCCAAAACCGTACTTTCCCCCACAAAAAGATGTTTTGGAGTTGAGGGCGAAGCTTCTGAGGGGCTGTCCATTAGGCCAGGGTCAACTCGGCAAGGTCCCTGTAACAATCGGAGATCTCCACTGCAAAGGCGAAGCAAGTGACACGCAACCTACCTCTGTCAGACTGATCCAGGAACAAAAATGTAATAAGATTTGACCTTACACTGCCGAGACTGAAAACCACTGTACGCTGCCAAATGTCTGAGGTCTCCCAACGTTCAAAATCCTGTTCTGAAGTCACGTCAAAATGGGTCCAATGCACAGGGAATTGATTGCTCATGCAAGCAACAGCCACATGATGAATGCAGCACCTGCGAAAAAGGCACAACTGATGGCACTCACAAAGTGAACCACTGTAACAGGGCTCTTGACCGGGCCACCAAGCACAACGGGGCTAGCAAAAGCAACACGGCCCCTACGACGCATTCAAAAATTCAAATGGCTTCCCTGATTGACAAAGTGGAAACTTTGGTCCACTTGAAGGAGAGGCGTGGACATAAATTGAGTTACAGTTTTAATCGGACAAGTTCACCATGTTTGAACTTCCTTTGAAAAATAGAGAACAATGAAGTTGAGAGTAAGTTTCATCACAGTACACGTTTAACAAGTTCTGTGAACAAAACGGTCTACCAAAAAGTTGGTAACACGAAAGCAACATACAGTTTCAAATTCGACTGTTTTGTTGGACATGTTTCCAAAAACAGGTAAAGCGAGCGCATACAGCACAAGACGTCTCGTTGTTTCTTTCAAACTTCACTTGGAAGGTGTGCAGCAGTTCCACTTGTTTTGCTGTACAAGCAAAACACCATTGAGCCCAAAAATAAGGCAATCATCTTTGTACCAAAGAGGACGCGCATACTGCCAGAATATGATTGCTCAATCTGTGTCACATAGGTTTAGTTAACAGAAATTTTGGGGTGACTTCTTTCAAATCCTTAGGCAATGTGTATTGAAATTAGCAACGGTAAGGAAGACCCCCGAGTTGGTGTAGGTCAATCAAATCACAGGTTACAAAAACAAGCAGCCCTACCAAAAGCGGGACGCCCAATCATATAGGGAGCCACGCAGAAAACACCACTTTGCTACTACTGCGTTCAGCTTGGAGGAAAGGTGGTCCATCGAGTTTGGGGAGCTAAGGCAGGCATGTGGCACCTACTTTATGTGTGATGTGAAGTGGCTCGCTCGACAACATGAAATGAGTTCTGGAGCGGATTCCACCCTTGTGATTCCTCTCATGTTCTCTTCCTCCCGCAGTTTACTACATCTCAGCTACGCAGCTACGCAGCTATGTGTCCGTCTATAGGACTCCCAGGAAAGGCAGTTGCCTTGATGAAATTCCTTGCTTCCCTAGCATTTTGAGATCATTTAATCCATCTGCCGCAGCAGGTAGCAATTGGCAGCCGAAATATCTTCAGATTGCAGCCACCCAGGCGGTAGCTTGGGAAGATACAGCCCTGCCATTAGCTTTCGCCAGTGCAGCGACTCATGTCCGATAAGTGGTCGATGGGGGCCAGTGCGCCGTGGGTAATCTTCGATAACTTTGGTGAGCAACTTCATGGCTCGCTCGGAGTAAGCCATGCTTATGGGCACTGGTAGGTGCAAGGGCTGACTTGCCTCCCACGAGCCTATGCGGGCAGGTGCATTCATCAATATGCCCACCATTGTCTGTGATGGGCTTTGCAATGCTGCCACCCGCACGGCACTAACCGGCTCCGTCCATGGATGGACCCACTTGCTCCATGGGCAATCAAGGAGAGCGCCCACTGGCGTGCTCCGCCAAGGGTCAGCTCTGGCAGTCAGTAATGCCTGCACAATACCTTCATGCTGGTGGAGCACAGCAATGATTAGCGGTGGGACTGTGGCTTCATCAGGATGAACCTCAGCCTCGGCGTCTAATAGTAATTGGACGAGGGGCTGGTTCTTCAAAGCTACTGCCAACCCTATCATGGTCGTTGGTTGCTGCTTCGGCGGGAGGATGTTGGGATCAACTTTGGCCTGCAATAGTAAAAATGTGAGACAGGCATCTGGACACGGGTATTTTAGGGAGACACTTGAACTGGATGTTGTGTATGGCTCCCTATCATGGTCTTTCAACATCGCCATTGTCAGCAGCGCACTGGTATGGCCTCCTGGGGGGACGAGGCACGTGAGGTCTAATCCTCTTCCAAGGAGCTTAGCAACCTCTCCTGCATCTTTTCTATATAGTGCTTCCATCAACCGATGGTACTGTGCTGCTGTTGGATATTGTAACGGATGCACAATGATCCGTACTTCACAACCGTCAGCCGCCGAACGTGTTGCTATGATGTGCAGAGGCGAAGCTTGCTTGGAAACAAGGTCAGGGTTCACAGCGACTTGGTATGGTGTCATGAGTCCTCGGTGGACAGCCACCTGGGCCATCACTTCCCACCTGGAAAGGTCACTGTTGGCTTCAAGCTGCATCAGTACTTCTCCGGTCAAGCTATGGCGAACGTCTACCAGCATCACGAGCAAAATCGGCACTCTCTTCAAAATAAACTCGGGGATCACTGGAAGTGAAACAGGAGCGAAGGAAATCCTGACCAGTCTGCGGCCAGAAAGACCAAGCGTTCCAATCTTAAGACACCACAAGTTAGATGGATGAGCCGATAAACGTCTGCGAGCAGGCCACTGAGCAAATATGAAAGCACTATAGGGGAGGGGAGAGTATTGTATTCAGGGTGAGGAGGCGGTTCAAATCCCAAACAACCAAAAAAAGGAGGGAGCAGACCTTTGAGTAAGTATAATGGGTAACCGATTTGTTTGGTAGCATTGTGGGTTCCTTGAAAGCAAACTTCCCAAAGGAAAAGAAAGTGATCCTAAAGTATCGGTTCTCACTATAATTTCCTAGTAGGAAGGCTTGCCTTACCATGATTTGCAGAGATTTCAGCAAGCAAATTGACTCAACTATAGGACATGACCATAAGTTGACCTACCTTGCCGCAACCGATATGCAAGAGACTCCTTTTTAGCAATTTAAGGTCGGTTGATGGCCGCAGTCTTCGCTGTGGCTTTGCAACTGGACTGTTCTATGCGAATTAACGATGGTGATTCCTTTCCTAGTTGGCCACCTCAGTACCTTGATCTTTGCTCTCAGTAGTCTTGGAGTCCGGGGTTGCCTCTTGGGCTACCCCCTCTGCATTGTTCTTCTCGCGGTTGAGCTGTTCAAGATTTTCGACAACTGTTTCAAACTGCATCGCCGCTTCCATAACTACTGAAAGTAGTGTGCGTGCATAGGCCAGCTGGGTTGTGCTGCGATCGCCGTCTTTTGTTTCAGATTCAAGCGCTGGGACCTGTCCATATGTCCACTGTACTCCCTCTATTGGGACCCGTGGTTGACTTGTTGATGCTGCCGTCGATCGGGGTGGATCTGCAAAGGCTTCATCCCACGCCTGCATATCGCGTGCACTGTAGGTATTGGTAGGATCAAATTGTTACGCCCTTGCCTGCCCTGTGGAGTCCGAGTGCTTCCGCTTCCCATAGGAGCCGTCTTCCTTGCGACCACCTGGGCTTGTAAAGTATTTGTCTTCAAAGCCTGTAACAAAAGTTTCATGAGACGCACTGCGGAGGCGAGTGTCTTCACTGGGCGCAATGGTTCGCTCAATCACTTTTCCGTTGTCATTCACTACTGTATCAGCGGACCAGCATATTGTTCTGTTGGCCAAAATGTGGTGTTCGTGCATTTTATTCGAGTAGAAGTGATTCAGCTTTTCATTGGTTGGGTGGCCTGAGATGATGGCAAATCTCCTTGGGCTTACCCAAATCCAGAGGTGTTCTTGAAAGTTTTCAGATGTATAGAAAGGCCATATCTTGTGGCCTGCCATGTCCACAAAGCTAAAGCTGGTGTACCCGTCGTCGCAGTATCTGGTTTCGAGGTGGCAAAAGTCGTGGGTCAACTTGGCTGAGTTTGAGCCTGGGAAGCTACTGGGAGGCTTTACCATATCTTCGTCTGTGATGATATTCCAGCATTCGCCGTTGATCATCATACGGTACTCATAGAAGGCCCAGTAGTGGAATTGCTCCGTCTGGTGCTGATATCTGCCTTGATGGTGATACACTCGGATGCCATCATACTCCCTCACGAATGACTCCTTATATCCACGGAGTCGAATCTCAGGGTCCACTTTGGTATCATCATCTGTAGACACATTTTGATCCAGCGTTGAATCCGGCTGGGGACCAGCTCGCAATCTCCAATTGTCGCCCACCCATTGCGTCATGTTCGCGCGGTGACCCCTTGTTAGTATGCAGGGACAACAAGAGGCACAGGCAAGGAAACCAAGGAGAGTCAACTGAAGAGCACAGGGCACCAGCACAGGCAGCAAGAGAAGAATAAGGAGGAAAAAGGATAGAAGCACAACAGATCCAAACAGCGAAGGAGCAGCAAAAAAGGGGGGGAAGAAGGAGGAGAAAGGACAGAGAGAGGAGGGTACGCCCCTGACACGTCTGCGGTCAGAGACGTGGGAGCCCTCCACCCTCAGAAACAAACCAACAAAGGGAGAGGGGGTGGGGAAGGGTGGCAGCGCAAAAAAGGGGGACCCGTAAGGGTGTGCGGGTGCTTGAGCCAGTGGCAGCATGCAGCAAGTAAATGTTCACAGGGCAGGTCATTGCTGTATTTTTCGTTCAACCGTAATACTACATCAACGACAAGCGGGAACTCACTTTTCAAGCACTACTGAGCACCAAGTCTTTCATACTGTTAGATGAATGAGAGCAGTGGAGCAAGGTCCGTGTAACTCTGTTGGACAAAGACAGTCACAACATGGATGATTGATCGACATGATGTTCTAATACCTTCAATGTCCAGCTGAGTGAGCAAGTTCTCGTCCGCAGTGCTGATGCCAATTTGATTGTGCGTGCAGTCAGAAGGTGTACGCTGCACTAAACCATTTGATTGCAACACATAATCTCGGAGACTGGCATTACCAAGCTGGACGACTGAAGGGGTGGCTGTGTATGCCATCCATGTTTCAGCATCCGACAATCTAAGCTTGAGGTACAATAGTACGAGGTTTTGCCCTATGATGCGCGGCGAAGGGCCTTGGTCCTGGGGCACACCAGCAATTTCACCATCAATGACGTCCAGGTGTTTCATTTTGTAGTGAAAGTAACCTGCTGTGGAGTGCAGCTGATAAACAAAGGTTGTAGGCAGTAGTGGAACATCAGATGCTAGTGGATACAACTCTAAGAGAAACCCAGTTGGATAGTAATCTAGCCTATACCACCGTTGAGACGTCACCTACCTGACCAGTCTGCGGTCAGACAGGAGCGCCTCTCACCCATGTACAATAGTAGTTAAAAAGGAGCAGTTGGAGTGATTGTTGTTCGTCGTGAACTGATGCAGCACTTGAGCAATATGAGCTGGGGCAGGGCGAGGTTTGAACATTAAGCGTTCCACTGCTCACATACTGCTGTTGATACAGTTGGTTTCATGGTCACTGCCTCTCTTATGATGATGCACAGATGCCTACGCCCACTGGCATTCTGTCTGCTGGTGGTGTGTAGTCCAGTTGCAGCACTTCTAGCTTTTATCTTTTACAGCACGAGGACTTCAGGCGACAGCAGCTCTCTTGTGGAGTCACGCCCAATAAGGTTGGGGGGAGTTTGAATTAAGATTTGAATGCGTACATACGGCTGCAATGCCTGAACAATTTCAGTTAATAGTGTGCCAGGTCGAACCTGTCGAACAGCTGTAGCTGTTCCTGTCGCTAACTCAACAGAGATACTCAGTCTCGGTGGGCGCGCTAGTCCAATTAACTCGAAAACTGTGTCCACCAAAGTTGAGACTGACAGCGATAGTACTGCCAGGTCCAGGTGTCCCGCTAGAGTGGCTGTTACCTGTACTGTGAGCACCACTACACGGAATGGACGGGCATCAAGCGGCACTGGGAGTGTCCCAGACTGGTCTGTGATCACACCTCGTCTTGATGGGGATAGATACAGTCGGCTGACCCATAGGCCTCTAGAGGCCGGGCAATTAAAGGTTGCAAGATAGGCAGCTTCTTCTGGGGTCTCTGCTAATGCAGTCAGTAGTTGTGTAGTAACACAAAAACTAAAAGGACCCAAGTGAACAACACAACAATCAAATTGGGACAGACCGGAAAAGAGGAGCCACTAATAGGTCCAAACCGGAGCAAAAGGGGCCCAACCGAGTGGACACGGGGGGCCAAAACAGCGAAACAATTTTTTTTCCGTCCAACGCCGTATGGCTTCCGCCAGGTCGTTCAACATGTTTCCAAGCATGTTGCATATTAGATTAATTAATTAATTCACGCAGGGGCCGAAGCTGTAGTGGCCGCAAAATTAAACTGGTAGAGGACCGATACATAGTCCTATTCCCTTGTCACGTCATCAGAGAACAAGAACCGAAACACAAAGAACCAGAAGCAAAAACAACACAAACAAAAAAAACAAACACAAACAAAAACAACCCACACAAAACACAAAAAAACACACAACCCCAAAGCAGTGACGTGACAGGTTCCAGTTTGGGTGAAAAAGATCTGTTGAGACAAGAGGTGATAGCTTAGTATCAACTCGGCGCATGCAGATGACAACTTTTGTGTCATGCTGACGCAGGCCCATAAACAAAAGCAACAGGAAAAACCACAAAATCACCATGGGCCATTTCAAAGGGTGCAGGAAGCAACAAAGCCCAATGCGGAAACCAGGGATCCCCCCAGCCAGGATCCCCGAGATCACAAAGAGCAGCCTTCACGGCATGACATTCACCCTGACACTTTGAAGCAAACACCGACAAAGCCGGGTCGCAACGAAGTGGTGAGAAAACTACCGCAGTGAAACAGAAGAGTGAAACATGATCTAAGGTGAAAATGACAGCGAGGCTACGGCACTCAGGGCACACTCAGAGTCCGCTCAGAACTGCTTTTCCAATCATCATACTGCATCAAACTTCAGTTCGGGAGGCACCACTATGCTAGTGCTCTTGCAATGCGTCTTCATGGTATGGGAGATTGTACTCGTCATCAGTGCGTGGTGATATCTGTGCATTGAGTTCTTCTGATGATGTGCTGGCTCCCCTGGCTGTATGGTGAAGCTGCAGTATGGCTTTCTGTGCCTGGGTTACTTCGTAACTGGCAGATATAGTACAACTATCCAGGATACAGCCAATCTGACGGAGTTGGCGTATAGTCGCCTCAAGGTCATTGACCCTCTGGGATGGGATGTTTTGGATGCCTTGGAGCTTCTGTCGGGCCTTCTCTAGAAGTTTGGTGGCATCATCGACTTCACTAGTAGTGACCTGGCAGAGGGTCAGTTGAGTAATGGACTTTGCAAGTCGATGGACAGCGGCGTCTTTGATAGGAGTCGGTCGCTCCATTCCAAAGGACTAAGTCGTCTACAGGTTTATTGGTAGACGTAAATCCTCAGAGCATTCAGCTGACACTCACCGTGTTGCAACCATGGTCGAGAAAGGGCATGGGGAGGTGTGGTGCAGATCATTGGGC